CTGGGTTTGAATCCACCTGCCGGGCCTTTCTGCGTGGAGCTGCAGTTTGCATGTGACGGCCCGAGTTCTCTCGGGATACTTTCCTCCCACAGTCTCGGCTGCTTGTGTGTGTGTCCTGCCAAAAATCACATTTTATCCTCATTTCTTCTCAGACTTTCCTGATTTAAGGTGTAAAAATGCGTAAATCGAACACAATGCTTTGTGGGAATCTGTGTGAAAATCACAAATCGGATTCAAATCTATCGCTGTCTGCTTTAAATGTGTGCACATGGCAAGCTTGCTTTCATATAGGAATATAAGCACGATACAAAAGTTTGAGGCACTCGTCTTAGACGTGCTGTGCTCATTGGCTCAGACTGATCACAGCTTGCTGCCTCTGTCTGTGTTTATTAATGTAGATGTCAGTTATTTGCAGACCTTCAGCGATCTGTCTGAGAGCGACTGCAGCCGGGCCAACCTGTGCGATCTGCTGCCGTCACAGTTCATTATTTTGATTTGAATTACTTTGGATTATAGACATAATTAGCTAAGCACTACAGACATTAATACTACAGCTACCTTAAATAACTGTGACTTTGATATTGAAAAAAGAATACATTTTTTAATCCAGCCTTTCATTCACGTGATTGGATGAACATCCAGCGCTGAAAACAAATGAAAAAATGTGGTTTGGAAACAAAAGAAGAACCTGAAATATCACAATCACATCATTATGTAACGCTGTGAATTAAAAATGTAGTGAAATATTTCATGATCCACATGATGCCTGTTTCTCACTGCATCGTTTCTCTGCCCTTCCAGCTTTCTGCTCCGCCCACTGCGCTCCTCCCAGCCAACCGCTGCCTACAGTCTGGGATGGTTAGCTACTGAGCGGGCTGCCAGTGAACGCTGAGCAGGCTGGCGAACTCAGCGTCCGCCTCGCTGTCCTGTGATTGGCTGCTGGATGGGACTGAGGCCGAATGGAGCCAATGTCCAACAAGCAGGATAGCAACTCATCTGAGGGAGATGAGAAAGGGTGAGACAGAGGGGTCTGGTGTGTGTGGTAAACAAAACGTGATGGAGTGTACATCTGCCTTTGGCTGTGTGTGTGTGTGTGTGTGTGTGTGTGTGTGTGTCCATTTTTGATGTAGACATGAAAGGAAAGCTGAGATTAATGGTGTGGCGGGACAACAGATAAAAGCAGAGCTGTAGGCATGGATGGATTAATGAAAGATTAGGAGCTGCAGCAACACTTTTTAGCTACCAGTTCAAATAATTTGAGGTATGAAGTGAAAAATAGAAGCTGAACAAATGATTGAGACAGGCTGTTGTCTTAGCAGGTAAAGAGAAGGAATGCCTGAATTTAGCAGAATTTTAGGAGCAGTAAAAGGGACGGCTGAGCGCTGTCACGCTGCCGGCTGTACTCACTGTTGCTCCTGCACGTGCAGCTGCACACACACACACACACACACACACACACGCAGCACATACTGCTTTTACCGCTTCACGAGATAAATTCACAGAGACTCACATCAGGCTGATGAAGAAGAAACTAAAGCAAACTGAAGCCACTGCTGTGTGGCGACGATGTTGGAGCACAGAGACCCAAAGAGTGCGTTAATGAAATAAAACGAAACTAAATTAACAAAAGTGTCACAAAACGACGGTGAGGAGGAGCTCCAGCTGAAGTTTGTAAACAAATGAAATAAACACGGACCAACAAGAATCCATAGCTCGTCCCACACGTCCCTCTTTGATACTACAGTCATGTAACTGTTTATAAATACGTGATTATTATGTCCTTTCTTCATAGTGCTTTCATTGTGAAGCGTTTTGCCATATGTAGCAACAGTCACATGGAGTTTCTTTCCCTCTGGGCTTAGTCAC